GCATCCACCTTTAGGATGCTGAAACATGTTATCCATAATCCATTCCAGCTCAAAGCAAAAAAGACGTTACTGTGATGAGAAATACCATTAGGGTGCAAACTCACCACTAAATCTTTCCTCCCCAAAGATTACATCTTTTCTTTTTTTTTTCCTTTTGGCTGGAACGTTTAATAAATATATATCTAGAGAGGGAAGGCAACAACTTCAAATAATTCAAACTCTTTACTCAACTCATCCTTCACCTGTTAACACATATTCGATCCATCATGACAGTCATAGACCCATTTCATTGGTGTATTTTTTTTAAAATTATTTTCAAATGGCCTAAAGAAAAATATAGCAATACAATAATTTAGCCTCAGTATTACTAACACAAATCTGGTCATATGATCAACGGTGTACATTTAATACTGATCATATATTGAAGTCTGTGTTGCTGCCACTGCACACTCAGTTAAGGATTGGTGAGATGAGCTTTGATTCACTGTCAACTGATTCATTGACGAATTCAGAGCATACTTCCCAATCCTGATTATAACCACCTCATACTATTTATAAAGTTCACACTGAAGGAGCACCAAAGCAAGTCTGGTACTCAAAAGTTGCTTATACCAGGGAAAAAAACTTCTTAGTATTAAGGACCTCTATTTTTCATGGCCCTATTCTGTATAAACATTCAACTCAAGAAGATGTGCAAAAAGGAGAAAAAAAAGTCAAATTACATCATAGTTATCAGAGGAGAAAGATGTTACACAAACTCATAAGAAAATGACAATCTTTTTTCTCTTTTACTATAAATACATTTAACAGTTTAGCAGAAACACAAGCTAAATTTAAGATTGTTCACATTTGAAGTTGTATCACTCTCTGCTAATGATAAATAAGGAACAGGTCCTGACAATGGAATTTGGACATAGCAATTTTCATCAACAGATCTTTTGAAGACTGGTTTAAAGGGTTAAAACAATGATTTTTTTTAAGTTCTGAAAAGTCCATCTGTTGTCCAAACTTTGGATTGAAGTCCTTATTTTTTTACTTAGAGACAGATATATACAGTGCTGTTGTAATAATGAAACAAATGTGAAATCTACTGTAAAGTTGCACAATACAGAAAACTGTTGCTCCATCTTCTACTACATACATGTGTGACTCCACAGGTTAATTAATGTTGCTTTGTTTCTTTTTGTTAAGTTGGAATTATTCCATCACGTCTAAGACCTCTTTTCAGTTCCAAATCTTCCAGTTTCTTCCATAGTTCTTCACGTTCTTTCTCTTTTTTCTTCTCACTAGCAAAATTTTTAAAAAATGGCAACATTTTAACACCTGAACCACTATAAAATAGCATTAGATGTAAATTATGCACCAAGTATCCACTTTTCTCTGAAGAATACTAAAACTGAATATAAAAAAGATAAACTTCATAATAACATCATGGATTTAAATAACAATACAAACAAATGGTGCCTTGTAATATTCAATTATTTCAAGTCCAAAAGTTGCATCATTGGCTCTCATAATGTATCTGAATTTCTTCACTGTTGAATGAAAATGTGCTCTAGATAACAAACAAAAAATTGCTAAAAGTTAATGAAATAAAGCTATGTATCAAATATATACTTTGGTATTGGGGTTTTTTGGTAATTCCTGCATCTAAAACCACTTAAAATTATATTGTGTTTAATGTATCTCTTCACTGAGAAGTTACCATTGCTAGTGGTAATTATTACTAGTATAAACCTGCACCAGAGAGGTACATTTTGTGTCTAGAAATTTTTTTTGGTTCTCTCCTTACTTATAACATTCCTATGTTTCATTATTTATGAAAACATTTGTTGCTAGTATTAATTTTCACCCTGCTGTAATTTAATGGTGATCAAAATTTTTGAGATCTGCTTTTCACAAAATAGCTATTTTAGATTTGTAAATTTTTCCTGTTTACAAGCTCTGTAATATTTCATTTTCCATTTTTCAAAGTCCAACTAATCTACCATCAAAATCTGTATAATAGAATGAATCATTCATCCCCAGAATGAAAAATAATACATATCAAATACATGTAGAAACTATAGTATTGCACATTCATGAACAATCTGAAATCTTAGAACTTTTTTTAAATAAAAAAGCAAAAACAAAAGGTTTGCATCCTACAGCTCATCAAAGTTTTCTGTATTTATAATTACCACATTGCTGTCAATATCTGGTTCTAAACAATATTATAGTTGGATTTGTAATAATTGAAATGTTGGCTTTATTTTTTTTAATAAAAGAAGAAACAAGCCACACCAGTGAAGAATCATTCTTAAATTTTAAAATAATTTCTTTGATTCTTATGTAAAAAGGACACAGCTTTAAAATATATTTGATGAAAAATCGCTGAAAATTAATTTTGACAATCTGAGTATATATGATATATGATATATGATATATGATTCCAGCCAAGATGCCCAAAGCATGAAAGTTGTATGCTTGACATCTGAGGTTGTACAATTTCTCTATGAATATGAATCAAGTTTACAAAATGATTCCTATTATATTAGTAGCAACATTTTATGAGTTTTCCTAGAAATTCCTGCATATTAAAACATTCTGTCTAGTTGAAAGAAAAAAGTTAATAAGAAAGTATAATATAGAATCAATTGGTCTATACCACAAGGTAGAAAGCGCAGATAATATTAAGATCATCTATTACCCCACCAATTACATTTCATATTTCTAATTTTTTTTTTAAAAAGCAGTGAGCCATGAGAGCCTGGTAATCCAATTAAACAACATCGTGGCCTCCAAAAATATGTGAGAGGCTATACTAACCTAACAAGGCTTGATGACATACAGTACCCTTCGCTTTGCTTGTGGGAACCCCANGCGCTTTTTTAGAGGCATTTTTAAACAGTTAGGCAGTCATTCACGGTGAGGCAGCAGCTAGCTAGCCTCACCTCAGCACTTGCCTTTTTCCTTTTTCTTCTTTTCATGATGAGCGGTGAGGCTGTGCTCACCTGCCTGCACGTCACTGCTGGTCCCTGATATTTGAATGGACAAAGGGCCCTCATTTTAAACTGTTCTTGGCCACAATCTGAAGCTCTTACATGAATACATTGGCAATGTCCTTGATCCATCCATTTTCTTCCTTTCCTCAAACTTGCTGAAGATAGCCATTTTTTTCTGGTTCATCTTCTACTCATTTCACATGACCAAAGTATGTGAATTACTGCTTGCCCATCACCACCTCAACATAAATGTTGTCCAAGACTGGTTCTTCAAGAAGCCCTTATAACTTTCAGTAATTAACTCCAAATTCATTATTTGAAGGTGGTTTTTTCTCCTTTTATTCATTTCGCAGACTTTACAATGCATTAAAACTCTTTTGGGCTATTTCCTCTATAGAAATATTATTTTCCAACATGATTTTGTGGAAATTTGTCACTGCCTTCCTTCTCATTATCTTCTCCTTACTTCTATATTTATCTTTTTTGAGCTAAAAATATGTTGCATTTAGCACTTTTTCCAATTTGCTATAAAATTGTTAAATGTGTTCTACGTTTATGGATGTAATAGAGGTTTAGATTTGTACACCAAGTTAGTTAGATGTATACATTTGTTATAATTTTGTCATTGGGTGGGGAGCCATTTAACAGCCTAGCACTTACATAATAATAGCCGTTGTTTTGCTAGCATTCATTTAATATTTTGTCTCTTATTTTACCTATGTGAAAATATATGGTAGGGATGAACTCATTTTTTGTGCGGAAGCTGTTTTTACTCTAGTCTCCACCAATATGGCATCTGCAAGAGTCCCACTGCAAGAGCCCCTCTCCTAGAGAGATGGGTGGCTAATAAAAATAAAAACCAAACAGACAAACCTAATATCTGTGAAAGAAACAAAATGGAATCAGGCTAGAGCAGGAGTCATCAATCTGCGGCTCTGGAGCCACATGTGACACTTTCATCCCTCTGCTGCAGCTCCCTGTTGCCAGCCGGTAAAAGGAAAAAGGACTCCATGCTAGGAGGAGACTCTAGGGTGGGGGAACTGAACTTCCAGTCAGCAGAGGAAAAAGGATGCTGAGCTAGGAGGAGATTCTATGGTGGGGAAACAGGACTTCCGGTCGGCTCCAGAATTGAACGAGGAGCTTCCGGGTCAGGACCTTTGTGGCTCTTTGAGTGTTTAATATTGCTGAGCTCTGGGCTAGAGTATTCAGAGCCATCTTGGTTCTTTACTCAGAGAAAGTCACTTAATGGAAAACATCTCATATTAAATGTTTATATCTCTTCAGAGAGAAACCTGCCTGTAGAATATTTTTTCCTCTCTAAAGAAAAAATGATCTCAAAACTGTCCCTAAGGTAACACTGCTGAAAACAACTGGAAGTCACTAACTCTAAAACATGGATTTTTTTTTTAAAAAAAGCTACTTTAAAATATTTTGGTTACAGAAAAACAGATTAAACCCAAAGCCTACAATAAAAAAGGACCGTCAAAATCAAGAAGGTCTGAGGGATACGATTTGTTATAAATTTATTTCATCTTCAGAATTTAAGGTTGCACCTTTGCTCCAGCACTTTTTAAAATAGAACATTTTGCCCTTGGCAACATCTGCCAAGTTTACATTGAGTCCCAGTCAATGTTCTTAAAAGAGGCTTAGATTAATATCATTAAACCATGTTGTGTTTAGTGTTATATATGACTAGTTTAATTCTGAATCCCCCAACCCACCCTGATTTAGCAGTGTCAAGTTTTTACAAAGCTCTTCAATTCACAATATCAGTATGAAAGATCCATATGTACAAACTGTGACCTGATAATCCCAAAATAGTCAGGTAGGATTGTTTTTTTTCTCTCTCCCAGTTGTCCTGGGGGCTGAAGCTGGGGCTGGGGGTGAAAACAATAAACCCACAAAGTCTACCAAATATGTATATGGCAGGAAGAAAAATATATAAGCTTATAATTAATACCACATTTTTGTCAATGTCAACAAGTTGTAAATTCATGTTTGCAAATATCACAAAAGACTCATGAACAACAACTCAGTTTCATACTGTAAGTAATGCTGGATCAATGGTTTAGGATTATCAATCACTGTTGTCATATGCTGTCTATAACAGTTCAAAAGCATCCTGGAGAAAAATCCTGAAAAACACATACCTTACGGTATATAATAATGCACCTGCATTAGCTAAATATATACTGTACACAAGTCTTATCAGCATTTTATCTACCAAAGATGTGAGATTCCACTTTTAAATACAAAGCAGATAGCCAGTAATGTATACTTATAATACAGCCCTCTTTTTTCCTTTGTTTTTTAAACCTAGAACAATTTGGTCACAATGCACCTTTGATATAAAATCATTTTAAATTTTATTATTAATACTCAGGACATTAGGATTGCCAGAATTGGGCTATTCTTCTTTCAATAGCATCTTGAGAACTGCTTTTAATAACAAATAAAACTGGGATTGGCATCCACCTTTAGGATGCTGAAACATGTTATCCATAATCCATTCCAGCTCAAAGCAAAAAAGACGTTACTGTGATGAGAAATACCATTAGGGTGCAAACTCACCACTAAATCTTTCCTCCCCAAAGATTACATCTTTTCTTTTTTTTT